AGGGAGCCCGATGTGGGACTCGATCCCGGGACTCCAGGATCATGACCTGAGCCGAAGGCAGTCACTTAACCAACTGAGCCACCCAGGCGCCCTCATAGATTACTTTTAAAAACGAAGAGAACTGTTTTATTCCCAGTTTGCCAAGTTTTTTTTTTTTTTTTAATTGTGAGTGAATATTTTATCCAGTGCCTTCTCTGCATGTATTATGGTCTTTAAAAAAATCCTTCAGTTTGTTAATGTGAATTACTACATTCCTTGATTTTCAGATGGTAAAACAACATGTCTTCCTGGAATAAACCACACTTGGACGTGGTATATATTGGCTAATTAGCCTTTTCATTTTGCTAGATTCAGTATATGACTTAAAAAAAATTATTTCTCTGTTAATTAGAGGTTTGTCTTGTAATTTCTTGTCATGTACTTGTCTGTGTTTTGTGTCAAGTTTATATTGCCCCATAAAAAGAGTTGGAAACTGTTCTGAAAGACTTTCTATAAAATTTGAATCAGTTTAGTCCTTATATGTTTGGAACAACTCACCAGTCAATCTGTCTTACGGGTTTTCTTCACAGAAAGCTTTTGAAAGATAGTGTCACTGGTGAATGACACCAAATATAAATAGAAGATTATTCAGGTTTTTTTTATTTGTTCTTGTGTTAGTTTTGCTAAATTGTATCTGTCCATTCCATAACTTTTCAAATGTGTTGGCATAAATTTTATTCATAATATCCTGTAATTCCCTTTTAATGTCTGAAAACTGTCATTATATCCCCTTTTCATTTCTGATATTGGTAATATATATGTTCTCTTCCTTTTTCTTCATCCTGTTAGGGATTTAGATATATTAATTTTTTCAAAGAACCAACTTTATTCTGCCTTCTGATTCTTTAATTTTTGGTTTTAGTCCCTTCTATTCTGTTTGGGTTTAATTTAATTCTAGCTTTTGAGGTAGATGCTTATATCAGTGCCTGTCTCCTGCTATGCTTATAAACCTATCCAATCAGAACTTTCTACCATTCACATCAGTAGCAATGTGCTCAAGATATATGCAGAAAAATACTGTTTCTGTGCCTGTTATCTTAAGGTCATGGGGCTTCTTTGGTGGAATGGGAAGAAAACTGGACTGGGAGTCGAGACACCTGATGGTTTTCACTTTCCAACTCTACCTCTGTGACTTTAGAAAAGTCACTTAAGCCTTCTGGTCCTGAATTTGGTGTGTGTATGTGTGTTTAATTTTTTTTTTTTTTATGAAATATAGATTCTCAGTAACCTGTGAAAAAATATGTATGGGGAAATTCCATGTATCCATCACCCAGTTTTCCCCAGTGGAAATCCAAGAGCTTACTTAAATTTTGCCAGTTTGAGATGCGTGTGTGTGTGTGTGTGTCTGTGTGTGTGTGTGTCTGTGTGTGTCTTTGCAGTTTGAACATGTGTAGATGAATGGACCTACTACCATAATC